AGCCAGAATATTCAACCATCTAGCGGTCACGTAGTGACTGGACTATTAAACGCGAGCTAGGATCCCTAACAGTTTTCACTAATAGCTGGTATGCGCTTTCCACAGTGATCGATTCTGGTCTGATAGATGGCGCTTTGCGCTATCTTATTTCAAGAGAATATTTGAATCATAAATTTAATAGCCGATAGGTAGGTCGTGGCGCACCCTAACCAAGGCCTCCTGGGTAAATATTGTTGGGGCATTTTGAGAGTCTCCTCTACCGCACCCCGGTAAACAACTTAAATGAGCTTAAGGATCGTGTAAGAGAGTCCTGCATTTAACGATTACACGACAAAATGAGAAAAATTGATGAAGCGCGTATCAAAATGGAGAGCATTATCATCAACTTATTCGGTTTTTATTCACAAAGGTTGTAATTAATTCATTAATATACGATTTGTCCAAATTATTAGTAGAAGGTAATGGTTATTCATAAATCAGAATCGTTTATTAGTTATCTTTTGTTGTTAAATAATATTGTGTTATTAGAAGTGTAAATCTTAAATTTAAAAAAAAGTATATTAAAGCCACTTCTACATCCTGTGATATTTTTTAACATCGTTCAAGAAAAAAGCAGTTCTCAATTTTAACTAGTGTCAACCTAATTAACATAGTCCTGAATATTATATTAATGGTGACACGCTACTGAATTCTCTTAAAATAAAAAATTAAAAATTATGAGCAGATTTGATTCTTTTTTTTGTCCGACGCACATGAATAGCACATGTATGCCAAATGTTTTTAAGCTATCTAAAGTAGTATTATCAATATTAATAATACACGGTTTATTTTTAAAAAAATTACCACTCTGTCTCTGAAAAGTTAAGCGGTTTAGGACATACATTCATATGAAGTTTTCTACTTAAAGTGGGCCCAAAAATCGCCCTATTAAATATTGATTAGGAAACACCCTGTCTGTATATAAATACAAACAAATGGCATCTGTTTACATACATATTTAAACCACCATGGGGTACGAGTAACCGGAAGCGAGAAAACTTTGGCCAATGAAATTCGACTTCCTGCTTTTTGTAGCAGCCGAATAATGAGGCACGGGTATGCGTCAATCCTATTGGTTGATGTTATAATCAAGCAAGGTGGTTGTTAGTATGAACAACTGTTCGGTCCCTCATTTTGTATTTTGTAATTTGCATAATAGGTTTGTTTTGTGAATCTGTCATTTATTGTTAACGGTGTGAATGGGTGGAATATTATATATAAGGGTGGATTTGTATGTTAATAGGGTTGAGTTATCAAATGACGGTGTTCTAACCATCCAAATAATGAGAGACCTACACTTTAATGTCACGATATTTTAAATATTTACAAACAAACTATGAATAAAAGTTCTAGTTTCTGAAAAATGGTCATTTGAGATATATCACATATTAGCCTTTGCGGTGAATCAGGTACCGCAATGCTAATTGACCGTGTGCACCCTATGTATGAATCCTTGGATATATTAACCATATATTGGCGACTGACACTGAGCTATTCCGATGGTGACGTATCAATTATCAGAACTGACACTACATACGTGGTTTTTACTTGTTATTTAGTTTTCGTAGTTATGAGGTCTGTGTTAAATTATATCAGGTTTTGCCTGACGTGAAATGCATCGAAATAAATAAACTACTCATATCCCGAGGTTTCTTAGGCTGGATTTCAATGTGCTAAATAACCATATTGCGCATTGTCAGTATACGCCGTTACCACAAATCTATTATTAGACGAAGTTATATCTCAATTTGACAAAGCTTCGAATCTTATCTCAACCATCTTGTACTGGCGGAAATATATATCTACTTAGGGGGAGACATACTTTGGGTCTTGACATATTTGTTTTTCACTTTTGACCCAATCTTGAATGTTAGAAGGTAATTGTATTCACAGAAATTCATATCACGTAGTAACGTGTACGAGAGAGAAGCGCGAGAAATGTGCAACACTAGTGACGAGGGTAAGGACGCAGCTGCGGCTTGCCGCGTGGCCAACAGCGCACTCTACTACACATTACGACGACAGTGATATTTGGATTTCTCTGTAGATGGATTTTGCAAGCGTATTTGCTGGAAAACACATTTTCGTATATATTAAAATGCTGTGGAGAGTGGGTGTAAGTAATCTGCAGCAGAGTTTTAGCGAAGAGAAAATCTTAGTCGTGACGTTATTTCTTCAATGAGCTTTGAAAGTTTTCTAGTTTTTTGTGAAAAGTTGACCTTCTTGTCGAGCTGGCAGTAAGGAAACCGCTGTACTTTCTGTCCTTCCAGCTCTATCTAAACGACTCATCAGCACAATATAATGTTTTGAATATTCACCAAGAAATTATTTTCCAACACTGAAGTTTAATAAAAAAAAAATATCCAGCCAAATGATTTGCATCTCTAGCTAGCATGCTTTGATTTGTACCGTCAAGAACCACATTCGCTTGTAAACTACAATTGTACAATTTTGTCAATAACAGAGAAAATTTTGGGCTATCTAGCTCAATTTTGATAGCCCACATTTGCACCCAGACTATCTTAGATAAAAATGATTAAAAATTATGGGTAAATTGAAATAAGTTGGTTTCATTATAGAACTAAAAAATATATTCAAGCACATTAGCACATTTTCAAAAAACTATTCTTATATTGATCCCAACCTCCTGTGCGTTGCTGCCATGAGTACTGACTACCCTAAGCTTCACTCGCACTTCTACTCTTCTACCATCGTCTTATGATTTGCTCTAATTTTTCGTACCTGTGAAAAAAGTTTTTGTCATAACTGTAGAGCTGGTGTCCCTTTGTTATACATCGTGGTTATAAGCTCCTTATTCAGTGATATATTCAACCAATGAGAGCTGTTCTTAAAAAAGTAAAAAAGCTCTCGAGAAACCTTTACATAAAGCTATTCCGGTCTGACAAAAACCAGGAAGCATGTTCCTATTGGCTGAAATTTGCACTTCACATGTACGCCAGTACTAAAGGATGAATACAATATTGTATGGTTCCCATATACTTATTACGCAATTTTGATTGTCCAGACTTCCAACATACTCAAATAGGAGCTGACAAACATCGCTGTTCAACAGTATGAACAAGACTAATTTGGCTTGGGATGAGGGTACGACACTACTATAAGATTTACAAATGAATGAATCCAGTCTGTTTTGAAAAATATCCCTTCCAACCAAAATAATATCTCCAATGATCCCAAAACCAAATTTGCATTCAGTCTAAATAAAACATGGGGCAAAAAACAAAGATATTCGTCGAAGAAATAGAATCTGTCAATGGGTCCAAAGGTGTATATCGGGTTTAAACTCTTTTCTCATTCAGTGGGTTCGATATAAGAAGAAAAGCCTCTCTGAAATAAAATACGATCAATCCTTGGATGCTGTCACAACAATCGCTCTGTCAATTAGAGTAATGAGAGGAGATCTGAAGGTCTTAGAAATGCAGGGGCGTACATTTTTGGAAGAGTACAAAGCGTTCTAGATATCTGCTACTAGGTGGTTGTATATACAGGACTATAGTCACATTAGAAAATAATCAACAACATACAAGAAGAGTAATCTCAGCTACCGCTTATTGCATTTTTCAGAAGCAACCGTTCTTTGTTTAAATAAAATAAAAGACACATCTACCGATCTCCAATGAACGTAGAAGAATTAGAACATAGCAACAGATGTTTTCAGTTGCGTATAGTTTTTTACTCTTTTGAATTGTAAAGCTAGAGAAAAAAACCAAAAAAACATTAACGGAAAATATGACATCAAAATATAAAAAAATATTTGCGTACCGAGGTACAAAAAACAAGTAAAGGAGTATAATTTGGTTGAAATCAAAATGCTTAAAATCAAAAAATTGATTAACCGTTTGCTCGAAAACGTGTATCTTTATAATGTCAAATATTTTTGTATTTGATTCAGATGAGATTATGATTTCTTGTCAACCAGGTAATTTCAATGCTCTTTTTCCACGAATCATGTGGAGGGTGGCCAAGAATGCGAGGTACTGTATCTGGGAATCTATCCATCGTAGAGGCTTGCGGCAAAAGAAGGTATTACTAAAACCGCCAAGGGAAATACCTGGAAAATGTTTTATGAAAAAGTGATCTTTCTGTGAATTCTGCTATACTACTTTAACAAAAGAATACTTGATCTTTAAAGTCGAGGATAATGTGAACTTTTTTATTTGACAATTGTTGCTGTATCTCTAAAAATAAAGAGGTGGAGGGTATTCAAAGGGTTCCGTAAAAAACACCCTGCATCTGAGCCGATTTTAACAAACTTGGGCTAGTTGAAAAAAGTACTCTACAACAGCAAAGAATTAGAATAACACAAGAAAGTATTAACCGCGTACTGGGATATATCGAAGAAAATTCTTAGCACAAGGGCATTATCCTTTGAGTTAGCCATATCACGAACTTCGGTTCCAAATATTTTGAAGGACCTAGTTAAGTTCCAGTGACCATCAAAATATCGGGACTTATTTAAATTTGACTTTTTTTTGATTACCTACTTTAAGAATGCACCCATTTCATGTGGTTTTGCATCAAGCCTTAAAATTGGAAGATTTTGATCGAAGGTTGTTCAATTGCCATTGGATGTTAAGCATGATACGTGTAAAGAGATAACTTTTATTGCAAATTCTTTGAACGGATGAAGCCACCTTTAATAGAGACAGGAGAGTCAATCTGCACAATATGCATTACCTAATAGCCCTTCCGATACTAACGGGTTATATAGATCTCAGCAAAAATTCCTTCATCTAATTACGCATTATTAATAACAGTAAATGCATTCAGATTACTGTAGGGACATAAAATATATGTCCCATACCGATATTTTTAAATACTATTGGGTGCTATGTCAATATAAAACGTATTATGCATTGTCCCAGTCATAAGGTGGGTTTTGTCTTAGATACTATTAACAGGAAATTATATTTTGAGGTTAGGTTGTAGCATTATTCTGCAATTTGTAAACAAATGTGACTTCTCTTTGCTTATGAGTTTTTGGCTTCAAATTTGATCAAATGTGATTAAATAACATGGACAGGTAAGTACCTAGTTATGTTAATTTAGGAGTATGCATAATTATTTATAATTATCTAAAGAAATACATCGAATTTTTATGGGTGGGACTTATATGTCCCAACAGTAATGTAGATATAGTTATTATTTAGTTTAGTGATACTATAATAGTGTATAGTTAGTATAATAATCAAATTATACCCATTTGTAAGGACATCACAATGCAGTCACGAGCAAATCCCATATGAATACGTTTGGAATATTGATGATATTACAAATTGATATAATTTTGACTATAAACTTTACTGTTTTTGCATAGGTCTCATTTTATCTTTTTATTTTCTAGAAAAAGAGCGTTAACTGCTAAAAAACTTGAAGAAATTGCGCGGAAAATAAACAGTAAGAAGAATATTCACTGGAGCACTAGTAGATCTTCATTTATTCCTTCAAAGAGTGTACCTACCGCGCATGTTACACGTATTTTACATGCAGATATTACTCATAAATCATCTGAACTCGAGTGTTTTTTGAAATTAGTTGCCAGAAGTTTGTTTATTTTTATGGAATGTACTAACGAAAGGTTAAGCATCTTACAAGACAAGACAAAAAAGCAATATCATCCCACCGATTATCACGAAATGATGTTGGTAATTGGTGGTTATTTTGTCATGGCGTACAACAAAGTACCATCTTTGTCTAATTATTGGTCATCTAACAAATCACTTGGAAATGAGGCTATTAAAAATGCCATCTCTAGAGACAGATTTTTTCTTCTTACATCAGAAATGTATTACAACCATCCTAAAAAAACAGAAAATTCAGACAAACTCTATTACATGTCTGAAGTTATGTCGTGTCTCAAACATACATTTCCAAAAGCTCGAACTGTCAGTAGTTTTCAAAGTATAGATGGGTCAATGGTGAAATTTAAAGGTCATTCCTCGCTGAAACAATAATATCTCCGTTAAAACCAATAAAGAGAGGTATTAAGATTTGGGAGAGGTGCGATTCAACATTAGGGGTAAGAGTGATAAACAAGTTACGCAGCTCTAGAAATGATCCAAACATGTTGTGTTTTGATCGTTTTTTTACGACTGTGAATTTATATTTTGCTGCTGTTGGGACATGTATGTCAAATAAAAAAAACCTGCCACAGTTTGACAAGAAAAAAATGGGAAAAGGAGATTGCCAAACATTATTTAGTGATCAGGGTGTTATCGCACATCTGTGGAAAGATTCTAAAGAGGTTTTGATTCTTTCAAACTGTCACAAAGACGAAATGGGATCTGTAGAAAGACGCCAAAATTAACGTGCCCTGTCCGGAAGCTATAAAAGCATATAATAGATTTATGGGTGGTGTTGATCTTTCAGATCAAATGTCTAGCTTATGCGAAATTGATCGGAAGTTTCAAAAATGATGGAGAAAAACATTTTACAAGCTACTGTTTAGATCAGCCTCAAATGCATGGATACTATTCAAAGAAGCTCATAAGCGTGATGTTCCGTTTATACATTTCTAGTAAATCCAGCAGAAGATTTGATAAACACAGGTCTACAAAAAGCAGGTGTTAGAAAACGCTGTAGTGGCAGACCTTCAAGTTCATCAATAAATCTCGTAAACGTAGGAGATCATTTGCCGTTTCTAGGAAAATCTCGTCGTAGATGTCATTCATGTACTCGAAAAGTGGAAAAAAGAACAAAAACTATGTGTTCAGGATGTAAGCTTCACTTGTGCAATGACTGTTTCCAATCCTTTCACACTTAAATGTTAGAAGTTTATTATTTTCGTTCAAGTTACATTTTTAACTATAAGTATTTTTGTTACTGGTGGGACATTTGTATCCTTTTTCCGTACTGTTGGGACAAATGTGTCCCATTTTGTATTTTTTTGTTTATTACTTAATAAAGAAAAAAAATGTTTTCTATTATTTAGTACATTGATATTTGTTATGTAGATAAGGTATTTTGCACGTACACTAGGAAAAAAATGAAAAGTCGTATTCTGAATGCCGATTTTTGCTGGGACCCATTCGTCCCAACCGTAAAATTATGTTCTTTTTCAAAATAAACTAGTATTGAAAGGGATAGTCTTAGTTTTTTCGAGCAGCCCCTAAGTTACAATGTCTTTCTTCACGTTTTGGACAATCAATTATCGTTGTTGCTGGAAGATGTGCCACTGGAAACACGACAAAACTGTTTGCAGTTGACTGGTTGTCAGCACATTTTGCTGTTGTTGTGCGAGAACATCTTAATGCAGTATTTTAACAGCGGCGGATTAGAAGAGAAAGTCTGTTTCCATGGCCTTCTTGATTTTTATTTATGGGGATGGTTAAAGGACATAGTGTTTCGCACTCAACCTACTACCAGAGAATATATGAAAAACCCGATTCGTAATGCAATACGTAACATCCCGAGAGCCGAAATTGAAGCTGCAGTTTTGTCTACCCATGAGAGGCTTCAGGAATTAATTTTCAATTCGGTCCTTCTTAGGGCCACAACTTAATAATAAGAAAAAAAAACAGAAAAATTAGTTTATAAAAATAAAAATTTAAGGTGATTTCCATAAGAAATTTTCCTTGGCCTAAATTTTAAATTAGAAACAAGAATATCGAGAAGCGGTTTTCACGAGCTTGTTTATACATCACTTAGCTACTTTTTCATGAAACAGTCATACCAATGCTTTGATTTTTTTGAGAAAATTTAAACATTTCTGTCGGAATGTCGAAAGAAAGCCCTCTAACCGCCACATGTGAAACTAACAAAACTTCAAATATTATAACATTTGTAACCTAAGAATAGCTCTTTCCGTCTAGCCCATGTTTGTTAAAAACGGCTCAGCCGTTTCGAAGACACAGGTTTTTTTTTACAGAAACATCTGAGTACCCCCCACCACTATTTTGAGAGATACAGGAAAAATTGTCAAACAAAATAGATTCAGATTATCCTCGGCTTTGAAGATCAGGTATTTCCTTGTTAGATTCATATAGCGGAATTCACAGAAACATCCCTTTTTTAGATCCAAGATTGTAGCTACACCCCCTAACGGCCATTTCAGAAACTTGAACAAATTTTCTTGGTTTCTCTTTTGGCCGTTTTGGTAATAATTTTTTTTGCCGTAAGCCTCTACGATGTATAGGTTTCCAGATACAATACCTCGCATTCTTATTTATTTATATTGTATTCTCATCTGTGGAGAAAACTGCTATTAAGCCAAAATTTTAATAATATACTCATCCAGAAACATTGTACCAAAATAAAGCCCATAAAAAGAATATCCCTAAAGCGTAAAGGTTTACAGGGTTAGCTTAGATTTTCTAAGAAAAATTACATTTTGCGTTTGTAAGTGCACTGTATAAATGATGCACGGAATTGTAGAAACGTTCAAATGACATGAAACTATGGGACGTGACGGAAAATTTGTTGCTCTATCTAAAAAACTGACAGGCTTACAAGCTACCAAAGTTTAATGTTTTCAGAACTAAATGTTACATAGCTCCAGAAGTAGCGACCCAATCTCCTATAGTTTGCTGTATCAAAGTAGAAGATTTGTTTCAGTATATTCTAAATTGTACAGGGTCTTCTATTCAAAAAGATGCATGTTTGTGTTACTGCGTAGTTACTATTACCCTATAAACAGAAGCACCTTTTTCAGGGAGCGCATATTTGCTTAGCATTTTTGTAAATACATTTCTTACATATCTTTCGTAATAACGCATCTACCGACCAGTGCTCACTAAAACTCAACGTGTATGTGCATTACAATATTATCTAGGCGTACTCAAAAGATAATGTCCCGAAAATATGTTGCTGCCTTTGTAGGTATTTCCGTGATGGTATGTGATATACAGGGGTAAAAAAGAAGAATAATTTTTTACAAACTTGTATAATGTATATGTCGTGGCCACATCAATGAATTGACCATTTCTTGACATGATCGAGCATTTCATGTTATGAGCGCATTTCATGAAAAGGCAAACTAAATTTGATCATATCGTTAAATCATGATCACATCGTAAAATAGGGTGTCCATAGAATATTTAATAAATATCTAGAATATGTTAAGAGCTCTTTTATTGTTCTTTAACTATTTTTGAATACATCAGATATCACAACTTGAATAAGTCAGCGCAATGCGCCATCTATCACCGAAATCGACCACACCGAAGAGCGCATAGCTGCTACTTTTTAGTACTGTAACGATCTCAGTTTGCCAAGTCTCCATGTGACCGCTAGATGGCTGACGATTTTGGCTGTCTCGTTGCCATTGAATAAACTAAACATGATGCTTTAGGCCGTCCAACCAAAATACAGTCAACCATAACAGCTGTTTCGTGCTTTTTGAGTAGAGAATGCAGGCCAGAGTGAAGTCAGGGGTCTATTTTACCTTTGGGAAAAATTGGTGAGTGGGAGACTGGGAGAGGGAGGGTACTCTGACATCTTTATTTTTAGGGTAAAGAAAGAATAGTATTTATCTGATTTTTGCGACCACACCACTGACTGGTACTACTTAGAGAGGGTGGATGGCACTCACCCAAAAACACACCACCTGTACATTCACGTCATAGAAACCGTGGTTTTGTGTACACACAGACGTCGCATTTCATTTCCGATAGAATCTGTGAAGACATGTCGACGTGATTTTTCAATAGGTGCCAAACCAGGGGTGGGTGGCATGCTGTCACCCCATTATGTTATTACATAATGCGATGGTTGTTTGCTACGCGAGGGTAGTTTAGATGTTTCTAATGATAAAAACGTTTGTTATGGTGATGATTTGTTAGAACAGATTGTATGTAGAGATAGTAAGGAAATGGGACGAGGTGTTTGATTTGTTTGTTATCATGTTCAGATTATAGCGATATTCTTTCATTGTCATAAAAGGTCTGATTTTAACAGAATATAAATCTACGCTTATCAAATTTCATTAACACTCATCCAGGTATGAATCCGACTGATGTAAATTGAAGAAGTAGAATTTGAGACATTGAAAATTTAGGAAAACTCGATGTTTTGTGGTTCTTGACATTGAGGACTGTTTCCATGAGAAAATAGTACCTCTAGCCATTCAAATTTCTCTCGTACTTGGCAGACCTAAAGTGCAACAACAACGTTAATAGTTAAAAATAGCTCCATCTTCCTTTGCTGGATGACAATGTCAGTGTATTCTTTAAGTACAGCAAGCAATACAATTGCTTCAGTCTAACCTTACTTCCTGCAGGGTCCCATATATCAATCCAACTTCCTTGTTGGTGCTAAGGCTGAAATTTATTAATACAAAAGATTTCCCGCTGCTGCTTTCATATATCTTTGGATCTCTTCGGTGATTTGTAGAAATCCTTAGATCTTCTCAGATTTTCTTGGATTTCCCATAATCTACAAGATATCCGCCGATTATAGCGACAAACACCTGTCAGTTGCACGCGCAGATACAGATATTACGTCGGATTATCTCGAATTGCCGTCCACTGAGACAGAGA